CTTAAACTCACGAACTGTGAAATCATGACCTGAGCTGAGATGAAGAGTCGGCCACTTGGGGCGCCTGTGTGGCTCAGTCAGTTAAGCATCCAACTTCGGCTCAGGTCACGATCTCACAATTCCTGAGTTTGAGTCTTGCGTTGGGCTCTGTGCTGACAGCTCAGAGCCTGGAGGCTGCTTCAGATTCTGTGTCTCCCTCTCTCTCTGCCCCTCCCTTGCTCACATTCTGTCTCTCTCTCAAAAATAAATAAATGTTAAAACAATTAAAAAAAAAAAGAGTCAGATGCTTAACTGACTGCACCACCCATGTACCCCCTTTATTTTTTTTATTTTAGAGAGAGTGTGTGAGTTGGGGAGAAGGACAGAGGGAGACAAAGAATCCCAAGCAGTCTCCTCATTCAGCGTGTAGCCCAATGAGGGGCTTGATCCTATGACCCTGGGATCATGACCTGAGCTGAAATCAAGAGTCAGACACTCAACCAACTGAGCTACCCAGGCCCCCCAAGATCTGCTTTCTTAGCCTGTATTTAAAACCACTGGATAAACAAAGATTCAGTGCCGGTGGGCTTTTGAACTAACAGTCCCAATTTGATGTGAAGAAGTAAACAACATAGAAGTCATCTTTGGTTCATTTACATAACAGTAACATAGTTGGTAAATGCTGGCCTAGATAATCTTCCAGGTCAAACTATAGTTATTTTATCCTAAGTATTTTGAACTTCTGTCATTTTAATGTCTACTTTCACTTCCAGTAGTCACATGAAAATATAAGAAGTGATTTGAAAGGGATATTTGTTCCTGCTCCAAATGCTGAAGTTAACTGATAACTGTTTTTTTTTACTGTAAAGCAATGGTTCTCAAAGTGTGGTCTGCAGATCCTCCAGTCAGACCTTTTTAGGGTTGTGAGCTAGTCATTTTATTCATAGCGCACCATTTTTATTTGAAAGAATGACTGTTAGCCTAAGGTTATTCAGACTTGGGCGCTTCTCAGACGATTTCTTGAAAAAGAGCGAAATGCACCTGTCACTTCAAAGAAAACAAGTGACAGAATTTGTTGGCAATGAAAAATTTTAGCATCCAAGTGAATTTTGGAAAATTTGTAGCTGCCACTATGATTTTGACAACCACCCAATGGTGATATTAACAAATGTGACTTTTTTTTGTCTGATGAAATGTGTCAACATTGGAAGATCTATATTACTAACAGAACCAATATTGTCTAAACTGCCAATGCATGACATTACAAAATCATGTATGGGTAAAAGATCCAAAGATCTAATCAAATGCAAGACAGACCGAAGGATTGTAATGGAAGTATATAAAAATTTCATTAATATGTTTTCATTTCCTACACTGCAATTAACCTTTAAGAAATTACCAGTTACTGAGTTTTGGGGTAATATCAAAGAAGAGCATCCACAGGGTAACCAGAAAGATAATGAGGGTAAAATGAGCAACAGTTGATTTTATGACATGTTGCCTAGCCAAGTTATCCTGAGACAAAAATAACAGAACATTAAAATAGAACTATTTCAGCTAATGTTCCAGGAGTAGAGTTACCAGCTACTCTCTGATTCTGGTGAGATTCCAGACCACGTATACATGACTTGAAAATGCTTGGCTAAAATCTGATTTTGGAATCCATGGCACTTCATCCATTCAAAGATACAAAAGTGTTAAAGTTAGAAGGGATGGAGAGTAGGAAATTGAAGAGAGGATTTCTTTGAAGACAGCTGTGACTGGAGTTCTAGAAAGAAGCCTGGAGGTGCTTGCTTTTCCCTTCAAGCCTAGTGAGAGGAAATTCTAAGGAGATCAGTCGGTGAGTCTGATATGTCCCTTGGAGCTTGGGGGACACAGGACACCAATATCAGACCCATATCTGAGAAAAATAAAGGACAAAAAGCTATGGTGAGAGTCTATACAGCTAAAGAGAAGACTGGGTTGGGAAGTACCCACACTCTCATTGCTGAAAGTATGTGTTTCCTGTGGACAGAGGTGGGCTGCCATGGGTTTGCCTTATATTCTGCTCATGAAAGCAACTGAGATAAGTTAGGAAACCTGAAACAGAGAAAGACTGAAGATATATGCTGGATTCCTGGGGATAGAGAAAGAAAACAGTAGCTACTAGCCAGAAGAGGCACCATGGCTTGAATCAAGAGAACTGCAGATAGGAGATATATGCAGTCATGGGGGTGGGTAGTAGGAAGTGGGCCCTGAAGAACCTCAAAAGTGCCCCACTGTTGACAGAGTACAGATCAGCTTTCCACAGGCCTGGAGTGCTGATATTCAGTCACAGTAGCACCGATAAGTAAGCCTTTTCTTTCCCTTCCCTCTGTTCCTGCTTATCCCAGGCCCACCCTGTACTAACATCGGTGGGATCAGAAACTGCAGTGGGCAAGCTGGGGGTAGGAAGGAAACTGAGGGCTGGTAAAAGAGAGGAACTAACAATGTCTGCTTATCCACTGCAGGCCAAATCTGAGCTGACCAGAGGAGCAAAAGCTTTCACTTGAACTTGTTTGGAGTACTGCATGGATTGAAGACGTTTTAGTTACCAAAATGAGAGGTTTCAGTGATAAGAAATGACAAGGCATTTTAACTCTCTGAGAATGATAAGAAAAGCCAATGGCACCTGGGATTTCATCTGGCAGTAGGGAAAATCTGCTCTTTGGAGCAGATTTGTAATAAAGTAGTGTGAGGAAAACAGAGTGACTATGAGTACCCCTTGCTTATTCAATCTATTGATCAAATGCACACATAGCTCAGGGGGTAGATATACACACTTAGATTGTTATTCTGGAAAGATTATCAAAGATTGCTGTTATTACATTCCATATTCTGTGGTCTTCTCTACCTGAAAATAAGAGCCTACTTGTTAGAATACATTTTTTTTTGCCTTATTTGATAACCAGAGAACCTCTGTTTGCCTTCTCACAACCCCCAGGATAATGTACGCAGGTACCAATACCCTGCACTCAGTCCCATGAGTTTTTCTTGCTCTAAGTGATTTTTTAAAAAATATTATTACTAATTTTAATAGATATAACCATCCACATGATACAAAATTCAAAAGGTACAAAGGGTATATAGTATAGGCTTTTTCTTGCTCTTGTCCCTCCACAACTTTCCCTGGAGGTAAGCACTGTTAACACTTCCTTTCTTTCTTTTTTTTAATTTGAGAGAGAGAGAGAGAGAGAGAGAGAGAGAGAGAGAGTGCAAGTGTGAGCAGGGAAGTGGGGCAGAGGGAGAGAGAATCCCAAGCAGGCTCCATGCTGTCAGCACAGAGCCTGATGTGGCACTCGATCCCACAACCCTGGGATCATGACCTGAGCTGAAACCGAGTCAGATGCTCAACCAATTCAGTCACTCAGGTGCCCGTTAACAGTTCCTGATGTCCTTTTTGGCCTTAGTTTTTTGAGAAATGTCTTGGCCAAAAAAAAGATTTAGTCTTCATTATAGATGTCACTGATACCACATACAACCTGTTGTCGGCTAGGTTTACATCGACAGTCCAAACATAAGAACAGAAGTTGCTAAAAGGACTTCTAGGATCATAACTCAACCCGGAGAATAACTGTTTAGACTGTAACTAGAGAAATGACATGGAAGGACTGGGCATCAATGCTGACTTACAAGTGAAGTCCAGGTTATATTGTAGTATGTGGGCCATTGCAGAGGTGATGCAAAATGGCTGAGGTGCTAAGGTTTCAAGACATGGTCATGTATATTATCATGGCTCTTTTTTTTTTCACAATAACAAAATATTTTATTCATTATTTTATATAAATTGTGATACCAAAATGACATTTTGCCATTTAAAAATGTATGTTCTTATATATTACTATTATTGCGATTATATTTTATAAACAATAAAATATTCTTAAAGGTAAAATCTTTATATTTTACTATCTTTAGTAAAATTTTTTCTTAAAAAATCTTTTTTTTATTTGAATAGAGTTGACATACAATGTGACATTAGTTTCAGGTGTACAACATAGTGATTCAACATCTCTGCATGTTATACTATCCTCACCACAAATGTAGCTACCATCTGTCACCACACAACAATATCATTGGTTATATTCCCTATGCTATACCTTTTATTTCCAGTATCATGGCTCTTATACAGGCCAAATGGGCTGTGACTACTTTGTTCTCCTTCAGTGATGTATCACATTAGCCTAAGAATCCAAATTGTTCTGAATACGTTATGTTCTGCTCTGCTCACCACAAGTGCAGCTACCATCTGTCATCATACAACATCATTGGCTATATTCCCTATGCTGTACCTTTTATTTCCAGTGTCATGGCTTCCAGCCACAGGCCAAATGGCCTGTGACTACTTTGTTCTCCTTCAGCGAAGTATCTATCACATTAGCCTGAGTCCAAATTGCTCTGAATCTCATTGGCTATAGTTTGATGAGATTATAGTCAACAGGTCATTTAGCATATTTAATAGATGTAATATTACAAGCTTGAATTTTTTGTGTCTACATAAAACATCATGTTTAATGTCAACACTAGTACCACCACTATCATCCTCATTATAGTTCACATTTTTTTAATTTTTAAAAATGTTTATTTATTTTAGAAAGAGAGTGTGAGCAGTAGAGGGACAGATAGAGAGGGGGATAGAGAATCTAAAGCATGGTCAGCACAAAGCCCAATGTGGGGCTTGATCCCACGCACTGCGAGATCATGACCTGAGCTGAAGTCAGATGCTCAACTGACTGAGCCACCCAGGCGCCCCCATAGTTAACACTTATTGAACACTTAGCATTACCAGCACCACCAACATCATGACTAACATTTACTGAGCCTTTACTATGTGCTAGCCACCATATAAAGTGCTGTCAGATAATTTTCACAATCAAGTTTACTACTATCATGTCCATTTACAGATGAGGAAAGTGAATAATGGAATGAGTTGAGTAATTTATTCAAGGTCACAGTTATTAAAAGATGAAGCCAGGATTTGAACCCAAGCAGTCTATCATACTAACCTGTTATTAGGGGGCATCCATGGAAGAGTAATATACGTATCTGAGGACAGCAAGTGAGGACAGCTTCTACAGCTTCATCAGTCAGATTCACACAATGTCCCATATGAATCTCCTATTTAAAAATAAAGAAAGGACAGTTAAAAGAAAAAAAATTTATGATGACAGTATGAAAAAGCATGGGAAATACTCTGATACAAAAAGAACCAGGGGCGCCTGGCTGGCTCAGTTGGAGGAGCATGAACATCTTGATCTCTTGGTCATGAGTTTGAGCCCCATGTTGGGTGTAGAGATTACTCAAATAAATAAAACTTAAACAGCAAACAAACAAAAAGAACGAAATATCTACTTGCAAGAAAAATCCTATAGAAAGGACTAATGTAAGTATGTAGTAATTTGGAAAGTATAGATGACTTAAAAGTTAAGTGCCCAACCATTTTATAAATCAATATGGCAAAATCTGTTAAGGCTGAAGACAAGTATACCCCAGAACCCAGCAGTACCAACTGCAAGCGTCCATTATACATAGAGTTACTCTTGTATATGTGCCCAAGGAAATAACTTATAAATGTGCTCATTTTAATATTATTTGTAATAGTAAAGAAGTGAGTAATGAATAAACAAATGGTGGTTTATTAATGGGACAGAAAAAAGAGTTAAAATGAAAAATATCTCCTTGTATTAATAGGCATAAATCTCAAACAGAATGTTAGTTCAGAAACTTTGGAAACCTGTATGGTTGTGTTTTTTAAAGCCAAATGTGTACTTTCTATATCTAGCAATTCCATTCCTAGGTGTTTACCCAAGAAAAATGAAAATGTATGTCTACACAAAGATTTGTATGCAAATCTTCATAGCAGTATTCATAACAGTCCAAAATTAGAACAACCCAAATATCCCTCAAATGGTGAATATCCAAACAAACTGTGTCATATCCACACTATGGAATACTACTCAGCAAAATGAATAAATAAAAGGAATGAAATATTAATACATGCAACAACATGGATGAATCTCAGAAACATTATGCTAAGTGAAGGAAGTAAAATAAAAAGGTAAAAAACAAAGAACAGTATTTCATGACTCCATTTATATAAAATTCTAGAAAAGGCAAAACTATAATGACAAAGTAAATCACTGGTTGCCTGGGGATGGAGGCATGGCAGGGAACGATTGCAAAGGGATGGGAGAAAACTTTTTTAGGATGATGGAATGTTTTATATATAATTGTGGTGGTTACAAGGCTGTATAACAATTACCAAAATTCATCAAACTTCATTACACTTAAAATGGGTAAATTTTATTGTATGCAAATTATACTTTAATAAAGCTTGGAAAATTAAACAATTTTGAATAAAAAAGCAAATTGTAATAGAACACATATATTATGAAGCTATCATTTGAAAATTTATAACATAAGACAATACTCTATCTTGTTTATAGATCTATATCTATATGTTTCTATCCATATATAGATAAAGTATGCAAACACACAAGGATAAATACACAGGCATCTTTAGAATAGTGGTTACTTCTGCAGGAAGAAAGGGAGAATGAATGTCATGGGAACTTTATAGGTAACATATAATTTTTAGGAACTGAAGTAAGTGCAGAACATGTTAAAATTCAAGGAGTGTCTGGGTGGCTCAGTCGGTTAAGCATCCAGCTCTTGATTTTAGCCCAGGTCATGATCTCATGGTTCATGGGATCGATCCCCACGTCGGGCTCTGTGCTGACAGCATGAAGCCTGCTTGGGATTCTCCTCTCCCTCTCTCTCTGCCCCTCCCCTGCTCATGCTCTCTCTTTCAAAATAAATAAATAAATTAAAAAAAAAGAAAACGTTAAAATTCAAGTGTTTGGTCCACAGGTTTATGTTAATATTACTTTCTATACTTTTTCATATGTTTGAAATATTATATACCCCTTGTTTGATGTTTTAATTTGGAATCCTTCTGCATTGGTGGTGGGAATATAAAATAGTACAGCCACTATGAAAATAGTATGACAGTTCCTTAAAAAAATTAAACATAGCATTACCATATAATCCAGCTATTTCACTTCTAGGTAAATGCCCAAAGAATTGAAAGCAAAGACTCGAACATATTTTTGTATACCTATGCTCATAGCAGCAGTATTCACAATAGTGAAAAGGTAGAAACAAATATTGATAGGTGAATGGATAAATGAAATGTTTATGTACTTATATATACACACCCATAAGCATACATATATAAACATATTCATATATAAGCATGCACATGTTTCTGCATATATATATGAATATACCATATATCTACAATGAAATATTATTCAGTCTTAAAAGGAACGAAATTCTGATATGTGCAACAACAGAGATAAACCTTGCAAACATTGTGCTAAATGAAATAAGTCAGACACAAAAGGACACATATTGTATGATCCACTTATATATGAGTTATCTGTAATAGGCAATTCATCGAGACAGAAAGTAGAATAGAGATAGTTAGAGGCTGGGGGTAAGGGGTAATAGGGAATTACTATTTTAATGGGTAACGAGTTTCAGTGTAGGATGAGGAAAAATATCTGGGAATGGATAGTGGTGTTGGCAGCACAATAATGTGAATGTGCTTAATTCCACTGAATTGTACACTAAAAATGGTTAAAGTGGTAAAGTCTGCATTGTGTATATTTGACCACAGCAAAAAATATTTTAAGAATTTTGGAAGGAAGGGGGCACCCTGGTGGCTCAGTCGGATGACTGCCTGACTCTGGATTTCCGCTCAGGTCATGATCTCACAGTTTGTGAGTTTGAGCCCCGCATTGGGCTCTGCGCTGACAGTGCAGAGCCTGCTTGGGATTCTCTCTCTCCCTCTGTCTCTCTCTGCCCCTCCCTCACTCATGCTGTCTCTCTTTCTAAACAAACAAACAAACAAACAAACTTAAAAAAAAGAATTTTGGAAGTAAGGTTATATAATGGTTGACACATTTATTTATGGCATTAATATTTTTTCCTTCCAAAAAGTTGATATTAAGTTGGTGTGCATACTATAATCAATCATATCATGTAAGTAAAGGAAACCTGCGTATATCGAAAACTCATAAAATTGAGGAAAAAAGCATTTTCTGTTATAAACTGGCAAAGGTAGCCTATGATATAAATTGGCAAAGGATACGGACAAAGAAATACAATTTGAGAACAGATGGAAGGAATAGCGCTCCACCCAGGTACCATTTAAAATATATTAAGGCATTTAAGAAAAAAAAAGATTCAATGTTGCAAACTGGGGTCTTGGCAAAATTGTGAATTCACAACATAACCTTTATAGGAAACAATCTTACAATATGAATTTAGGAGCATTAAAATATCCATACCTATCGACCCACTGATTCCATTTTTTGGAGTTTGTTACAGCAATGGAAGAAAAAATTTGTAAGCCCCAACATATGACTATTTCTAACAGTTAAAAACTGGAAATAATCTGGATTACCAATAACAGAAAAAATGATTAAAGTAAGGAATGATACATTGTATGAACAGATTTTGTTCTCTGATACACCAATGCCTAGAACATAGCAAGTGCTTAATAAATAATTGTTGAATAAATGAAATTTTACAGGAAAAAAACTTTTAACCATGAAGACTGTAGAAACTTACAAAATGACTGTAATATAAAGTTAATATGATAACATTTATTGAGGTACTATCATGTGCCTGGAACTGCAGTAATACATAGGGATAAAATGATGATAAAATGATGAACAAAATGGTCTCTGCCCACTGGGAACTTAAATCAACAGAAATTTCAAAAACAATCATGACATTCAATAAATGTTGTCACATAAGTTTGTATAACTGTTTTTCAGTCTTTAGGAAAGGTTGTTAGACTTTTTTCTTTCTTTCTTTCTTTCTTTCTTTCTTTCTTTCTTTCTTTCTTTCTTTCTTTTTAATTAAGTAAGCTCTATTCTCAATGTGGGGCTTGAACTCATAACACTAAGATCAAGAGTTGCATACTCTACTGACTGAGCCAGCCAGGTACCTGAAGTCCTTAGAGTTTTAATCAAATTTCTTGTCTTTCTTTCTTTTTTAAAGCTTATATATTTATTTTAAGAGAGAGAGAGAGAGTGAGCATGAGCAGGAGAGAGGCAGAGAGAGAGAGAGAAAGAGAATCCCAAGAAGGCGCCATGCTATCAGCCCACAGCCCAATGCTGGGCTCAATCCCACAAACCATGAGATCATGACCTGAGCTGAAATCAAGGGCAGGATGGATGCCCAACTGACTGAGCCACCCAGGCATCCCCAAATTTATTTTCAAGTTATAAACAATTCAGTAACATTGATAATATAATTTCCAGGAAGAGAACATATAAAAAGCAAGAGATTAAAACAGAGCATGTGA